TAGGGTCTTGCTACGTTCAGACCATTCAGTGAGCATCCAAATTGGAAATTATTTGAAATGATGCAGTACTTTAAAAAAAAAAATGTTCAGCTGGATTGAGGAATCCCTTTAATAAAGAAATTTGGGGTTGATAGTGTTTTAACAGTTTTAATTGCTAACAACATCTGTAAAACTGTTTTAAGAAAGGGAGAGAGAAAGCATTTTTAACTGTGACTCCAAGATCAGCTCTCTCCAGTTTCAGGACGAGAAAACAATTATTCATTGGTTAATTAGCTGTAAACAACTTTTTAAAGACACATCCATTATATATGTAATTATTTGGGGGGGGGGAAAAGCTTTAATGTTATTTGTGCTAATGCATAATTATTTGTGCTTGCTAAAAGGATTATCGGTATTTAGATGACCACTGTTGTTGCAAAACATCACGGAGGAGAGAGGAGACGAGCGTCAGGAAGGGATGCAGGGGGACACAGCAGCCACGTGCTCGCAGCCCCTWGCAGTGACGATGGGCAAATCCTGCCATGGGAAACAAAGCCCTTCCATGAAACCCTGCTCTGCTCCGTCCTTAATACATGGGGAAAACACATCACCGACAAGGTGTTTCCGTACCCGGTGGAATACGGAGCTCCTGTGATGATTTTTAACCTCCCGTGGTTTGTTGTCGATCTGTTTTAGAGCTGTGCACTACCTTGGCTCTTGCCTCGCTGAGCGACAACGTGGCAGCGCCCTCAGCGCATCCGCTCGGTAACTACTATGCCTAATTTACTAGGAAGATGTTAAGTCATGGTGAAGCCTATTTAGGCTTCTGTAATGCGCTGGTTGGAGCACTCTTTATAGTCATTAGCATATGAATGAAAGGAATAGTATCTTAAGCAGTTAGATAGTTTTAATATAGGTCAAGGGAAAMTTTTCATGTGTCCTAGGGCACATACGATGCCACAGAGCCTGCCTGAAGTGCSTGTGGCTTTGTGTATGTGTTTATCAAAACAAGTTTAGTTGCAAATTCTGGTGTTACCCTGAAGGAGACATTTTGGGGCCGTGTCAGTAAGAGCTTAGAAGTCRCCGTGACCTAATTCCAACCACAGGTGTTTTGCATTTCTGTCACCTTGGACATTTAGAACAAAATAATTTATGTGAAGCAGACTTGATATTTAATGTGCCGCATCCCCATATAGTTGCTGTGATCTTTCTGAGCCACTTGCACAAGCAGCGAGCCCCAGAAAAGCGAGGAGAGGCATAAGGAGAGCTCCTTGGCTTGTCCTGCAATGGCCATGGATGCATCACAGCACTTGGGTGGCTGGAGCAGAACAGGGAGGACCGCAGTGTCCAACTGCCTCCGGCTGCTTTCTGGGGCTGCTAGCAAGGATGCTACCTTGTGGCAGGAGGTTTTTTGTGATACAGGCACCTCAACTATGTCAGAAATTGTGATCTCTTAAACAGGAAAACACCSCTCAATTTGCTTTTCAGGAAACTGGAGGAACAGTGTGTGACAGCCCTATGGAATCCTATGGGTGATTCTAGCATTTCAGTGCACTAGATGYCCCAAACGGGGCGTTTTCATTCATTGATTTCTTTAAAGCAGTGGTTACCCAGGGGCATTTTAGAGGTGGAATTTTTGTCGCAATTTGAGTCGACAAAGAAATTATTACATTTTAAGGGATTTGTGTATTTAAGCCCAGATGATTATTTGGAAGGTTTGGTTGCTGCAAATTGGAAGCCTTGTAGCTCAATTTACTAATTTATTTTGTGATCTGTGACTAAACTGAGTAAAAATGCAAATAGCACCAGCCCTTTACATTTTATCACCGGATCAGTTTACTGATGGGAGGATCAGAGTCACTAAACAGTTCTACACTCTTGTGATTCCCAAGTGGTCAGGCACTAAAAGCCTCCATAGTGAAGACGACGGGAAAGCTCCCATGAAGAGAGGTTTTAAAGGAATTTGGCATTTATTTGTTTCTRACTTGGGGTGAAGAAGCAAGACTTTATTGTCCATCGTAATTTTTTTCCCCATCACACGTGCCAAGGAGCCATCGTGTCACGCAGCAGCACGCTCATGAGTTTGGTGGAAACAACTGCTAAAGCTAGGGAGAAATGCACCCTTTGCTTTTGGATGCACCTCTATCTTAGCCTCTGCTAGCTGAAGGAACATTTTTAATCCAGCACTTTTGTCCCTCATTTTCTGCTGGTGGCCCCCCATCTTTTGGGGCATTTTGCTTGTTTTTGGAGAGTTCTGCAGCAGTTACTTGCTGCTTACTTGCAAGGCAGTGGCCACCGCAGCAGCTCTGTTTTGGGGTGAGCCTCAGGGCCTGCTTCTGGTGCAACCCAATGAAGCTCTGCTCTCACCTTCTATGGGCACAGATATGGTTTTGGGTGGGTTTTTCCGTGTTTTTGCAAATCCAGCAGAGGGAGCAGAAGTCCAGCACTGGGTTTTCTCTGGACGAAACATTTGGGGTGGCAGATGGGTTGGCAAAAATTGCCTGTGGAGGTGGGGAACTGCATGAATCATTCCCCCCATATTCCGAGGAAACTGTTCAGTTGAAACATTAAAGATTGCTCTGCGATTCAGTAATTTTTCACATCCTGAACTTTGATTTCATCCTCTCTCTAAATTCTCCATGAGTTGTTACCATGTCGTAGTAGTTGGCAAAACTATTTCCAGCACGAACACAGTGACCCCAATTAGCCAGTAGGACCTCATCTAAGTAGGGAATAGCAGCCTTCCATGTCTTTGCATCCCACCTCCTCCCCACAGTTGGGGATATACATCCACACAACATACATACACATCTGCAGAACTGGCACTAGTTTGGAGTGAGCTGTACATGAACCTCAGCTTTTGTTTAGTGTCTGTCCTGGTTGCAAGTGTGATGCTTTGTGAAGTTATAAGTTCATAGTCAGTCTTTAGCAGAGCATAACTTAAGATGGTCAAATACTGAGCTATACAACAAGATATTGTGCACTTGGCGCAAATGCTGACCCTTAATAGGGTCACTTTTATCCTAGTAGTGGCAGCAGTGTGTTAGGGCAGAAAGCAGCAGTCTAGGGAGATACAGGATCAAAGAGCGCTCTACATGGGAGTTGAGCTACATGCAACAGAGTTGGGAGCCACAGTATTTTAGAAGATGCATAAATGAGAAACTTGTGATGTCTTCTGAAACCGAGGAGAGCCAGCAGCTCTTTAGCCACGGCCTTGCCTGCTTGAGAGGCAGTGCCTCCTTTCTGCTACTTTTATATCCCTGTTGGAAAGCTTAGCCTAATCCGGGAGAGTTAAAAATAAGGATATGTAATTGTTTTCCCTCCACATATGTGGCACATCAGCCTTTAGGACTTGCAGAGTCTGCGGTGTCAGGCAGAGCTTTTGGAGGATGTCATGGTGTTCATGGACTTCAGGGATAGGATCCCTGTGTTCCATTCCAAGTCCCAGGGAATCAGTGAAATTCAGACAGCAGAAATAGGAAGCAATTGGRATGTGAGTTGATTAGTTTTATTTTAGGTATCTTCCTCTAAACTTTTTCCATTGGCAAGTGCTCAAAAGACTAAGTGAAGGTGGACTTTGCCCACCAGAATGTATTTGATCACTGAGGAGCACGCCAGAGAGTCGTTGGCCTTTCCAACCTTGGAGGTTAGGCTATAACCAAGGAGATAACAACTGTTGTGTCAGGTCTAAGTGTAGCTTGTTCCTGCTCCAAGTTTGTACCCAGACCAGCAAAATTATGGTAGCCGTCATTCCAGGAGGGAACAGTATCTTCATAGGAACTCAGGCTGCCAAGAGAAAGGGGGTACTAACTACAACTCTTACTCTGCGAGTGTGAACCTCATGAACCTAGAGTGCCATGAGCATTAAGCAAAACTACATTTAGGGTTCTTTYTACTTGCTTTCTGTTGGACAGGCCCAAAAAATATGTTTGGAGTGCATTTCCAAATTTCCCTCTGAAGCTGACTGCTAAAACTCATTTCTTACATGAATATATAGATGTATCTATCTTTAAGAAGAGATTTTGAAGAACATGAAAAATCATCCAAAGAGCATGAAAGAGCACCCAAGAGCATGAAAACCATCCAAATAACAAAGGGCTGAGAACTATGAGAGCTGCAAGCACTTCTGCTGCTCAGTGCAGACACTCAGGCACCTGTGAAAGGGCAGTTACAGGCACTGGGGTTTCTTCTAGCACAGGGAACTGAGCAGCCTTGCACGGATTCATAAAAGGGAATCTGTGAGAAAACATCAGGTTAGAAGCAGCTGCCTCCTGAAAAGTTGTCTTCAGAAAACATTTTTGCATTGTAAATAGCTTCTCAAAGTCTTTAGAAATTTACTTTCCATAAATGTTTTATGTCCCTTTGATACCAAATTAAAAAAATAGGATGAATATTTGGCTTTATTATTTTCTAATCTTTCCTTTTTTCCCCCTCTCCTTTTCTTGTGGAAAAAAAGGGCAATCGGGGGACAAAAGGGTGTAGATCCCCTGTATCTTTAGTGATGAAAGCACTTTTTCATTCATTGAAAGATAACAAAAAAGACATAATCCCCTTGAGTAAAGCTTAAACTCTTTTTTTTTTTAATAGAAAATAATGCCCTTTGTTTAGCTTTTGTTGAAAGGCAGATGCAGAATGCAACTTTAGCAATAAAGGTAACAGCTAGACATAGGCCTAGCTCCTTTTTTTTTTTTTTTTTTCAAGAAACACCGTTTTACTCATCTTCATATATTAGAAAGGGCTTTCTGCAGAGAGCTAAGTTTCTTGAGCCTATGACCTAAATTAAGAGCAACTGCCTCCCTGTTCCAGTTTACCTGCTCCAGTCACCCCCAGTGAGATGCACCTGGGCATCGTTAGCTCCTTCCCCTATTTCTTCAGGCCACCAGGGATGTTTCTCTTTCCTGGGCTTACACAGGGTGGATATGGAAGGGTGAGGCCTTGCTAGCCTGCAAAGACACATTTCTGTCTCTAGATAGGTCTTAAAATGTGAATTTGTTATAAAGTTTATGAAATGTTAGGGCTAATRGTAAGCTGACTTTGTCTGAGGTGTTGATAAGCTGAAGTTTGGGCTCCTTCTGGATTTTCCAGTGTTGTGGAAAGAGAAGGGGATGTGCTGCCTTTTGGAAAGGCCTGGGAGACTGGAGAGCTTTAGGTGAGTTTTAATGTCTTTGAGCTTGGTTTCCTCTGACTCTACAGTCAAAGTGGGGCTGGAGGTGCTAACAGAAAGGTAAATGGGGGGTCTGCTGTGAAATGAGGTTTTATGGCATGATGCTTCTCTGTCACTCTGGGTTGATGCTATTTCTGCTGATTCAAAAGGCTATTTCTATTTCATAAATAGAATAAATCCTTCCAAGTCTACAGATTCATGGAAGGAATCAAAGAATGGAAAAGGAAACAAAAACTTGATAGCCAGAAGCAGTCTTAACTTTTCTCACGTAAGGTGCTGTGGCTTTTTAAACTCCCCTCTGTAAGCTAGAGATAATAGTTAGTCTTAACTTTGAATTTCTTTGCTTTTAGCAGTTTGTGTTAAACAGTAGCATTATGGAAAAAGAGCTTTTGATCTGTGTGTAATAATGGTTTATTTGACAAAATCTCTACTCCTAAATGCATGAATTTCAGCAACTAACAAACATCAAAACAAGGAGATTTTTCAGCTCAAAAAGTTATCGTTAGGAATTATGATCAGGCTTTTGCTGAATATTTTTGTGAATAATTTGAATATATAATAAACATTTAGTAATCTCTGTATTGTTCTATTATATTGAAAGAGATATGCCTTGATTGTATCATTTTAATTAACTCTAGCTGTGTTTTACTAAAGTCTGAAGCATTAAGCATTGTTTATGTGAGCACCCTGACATTCAGGTTGCCTGAAAGAAGTAAATAAAACTGTAGGTCAAACTGTATTAATGTGTCTTGCCAGCTATTATTGCATCAGCTTTTGAATAGCATTTATTCTGTAATTGATGGTTGTCAGGCTGTAATTTCCATAGCTACACTTTGAGCTCTTTAAGTTTTCCTTTTTTTTTCTGTAGTGTTTACATCATGTTTAGTCCAAGAGTAAAATGGAAAGAAGAGTTTCCAGTTTTTATTTCTTAATAACCTTTTCTTCAGGGAATCACTTTAGTTATTTACCAAGATAGTAAAWCTATAATATTCCTCTAGATTCAATTGTCTGCCCTTTGCTTTTCTTTATTTCATGTTTACTTTCTTCTTTGTGGTCATCCAATTTAATCTGCCTGTCTGTACCTACCTAATCTGCCCAATATATCCATGTATCATTTCTCTAATGATTTTATTATTGAAATGACACTTAGCATTTGAAAATTAAGTATACATTAGAAGAGCTTAATTCTCCCATTAGCAGTTCAGACTTCTATACTTCTCCCACGTTCTAGCTGCTCTGTGAGTTAAATAAGCCTTATTGAGTGTTTATAAGAGCTGTAACATTTTTTTCCTTAACTTTTATTACYGAGTGGAAGCCTCTGTAAAATCAAGTCACTGCTTGTGCGTCTGTATTGACTAGAAACTCTGGTTAGTGAAGACACAAGRTTTACTTTCAGTGCAACTTGAATTTTAGCTTCAAATCTTTATTTATGCAAAGGGAACTCTTCTACCAGCCATAATCAACAGCAGATGTTTTAAACTCCTGGTTTTATTCTTCCTCTTTTTTCCCCCTCTAGCTTAACCAAATTACACTTGTGCTTAAAAAAAAAAAAAAAAGACTTAAAAAATAATTAAGTGTTTAGTTAAGAGAAACATCTTAAAAATTACATCCATTAATAGTTATTCCTTCCTTGGTGTTTTCACAGTATTTGATCTCTGTGCAGTGTGTTACCCTTTGACTTTGTGCTGCTCTTTCCACATACACCTGGCACTACTTTTTTGCTTTCTGTTGAGACACAAGTACCTACAGTCCTGGCTGCTTTTTCCTATGTATTTTTTCAGATGTTGGTTGCTTCATTCTCTTGCTTCCACTCTTTCTTTCTGCCATAGATGCTAGTAAGAATTTTCATCCTTCTAGAATTTTCATTGAAATTCCTGCTAGATGGTATGAATTTGGTCCATTTTTCTCCTTGTTCCTTCTATTCATCTTCAGTCACCCTGAAGTCACATGCCTGACATGGTGTGACTGTTCTTTACTGTAGTGCTGGTAGCTTGTGTTGAGATGAGCCATGATGTGCTGCTCTGCCTGTATCGGGCTACTGCATCTTTTTCTCTGGTCATTTCATGTTTTGCCTTCATATCCTTCTGTCTTTATCTGGTATGTGTATTTTAACTCATTGAATTTGATTTGCTTTTTATTTATTCCTATTTTTGCTACAAGCCTTGCAAACCTGCACCAAACTCATACTCTTGATTTTTAAAAAAAAAACATACTTGTGTTAAATAGTTTGTGTGAAGAATTTTTTGTTTGGATTTTTTTGTTTATCATGTCAAGTTTGCTTAAAAGATGCTGTTAAAGAGTTTTGTTGTGCTTCTCTAGTGAAGTGTAGCTGTTGTGTTACCCTAGTTAGTACCTGCACAACATAATGTGCAAGGTATATTGAATTGTATGTAGGATGTGTTTCAGTACTATATTTGTGACAGTTAGTTAAGGATGAAAGGGTAGCAGAAAAATTGGCACTGAAGTGCCCAGTTGCATGATATGGTTAACAGTGATTTGCAGCAGTTTTCAGTTCCTTGGTACTAAAAGGAAGAGTCTTTTTTAAACAGATTGATRGACTGCAGCTCGGGTTCCTTGACTTGTCTTTGTTGCACACAAGTCAAGTACTTGCTTAAATTAACAGCTGATGTTGATATTGTCTATACTCCTATAGTGCATTTTTCTGCAAAAAAGAATACCTTATTGCAGAGCTTGTATTGTCAAAAAAACAGAGCAAAAGAGACAGTTTACTAGTTCATAAATAGATAGTGAAAAGCAAACCTTATTTCTGAACTAATCTGTTTTATGAAAATAGGGGAGTTGATCTCCCTGCCTCCCTTTGCTCCTTTCCTCCTTCCCTTTTTTGTCTCCGTTAAAAATGGCATGATCTCAGGAGGGCATCTTTAAGAGAGTGTAAGTGCACAGAATGACAGGTACAAATAATTTCATACAACAGAAGGACAAATAGTGCTAATTTTTTAAAAACAAACAAAAAAAAAGGGGGGGGGGTAGAGAAGGAGGAAAAAAAAGCTTGGCCTGAAAGACTACAGTAAATCACAAAAGTGATCTCAAGTGAACAGAGATAGATTTCTGGAATACGGTGTGCAATGAAACCAGTGACCTCTTATACAAGGGTTCATGTCTTTTTCTACAGAAACAGATGGGTAATAGCATAATGCTGAAATCATGCTCTACATAATATGGACCTAGTGATTGCAGACCTGATTGCTTGCCATATGGTTGCTGAAGGGTTGAAGAGAAAATGGGATGATATGCAAACCCTTAAAAGCAACATTTTTATTGAATGGCCATTACATTAAAACCCAAACTCTGCAAATGAGGGAAAGAACTGTGGTGAATAATAATGAAATAACAAAACAATAAAAGAAGAAACACAATGGCATGTATTTGTTTTCAACATGCAAAATAACTTTTGGTCGTCGTTTTGCCTTGTGTTACGAGCATTTGGTGCAAAGTTGGTGGGACACTGCTGCCTGCAGGGCAGAAATATAGTATATTTGAGCATTGCTGTGTTCACTAGGTCAGACAGAAAAAGAAAATAATCACTTTTCTCAAAGGAAAAGCTTCTGAGTTGAATGCTAAATAAAATATGCTGCTTGCATACATGAACCACAATACTGAGAGGCCAGTAGAAAACCTTTGTGACACCAGCTTTGTCAATACAGATTCCAACAGTTTATTTACATTCCCTCCTGAAAAAGTCAATTTTTTTTCTTGCCAGTTTTAATGTTGCTATTGGCAAATAGTGTTTTTGAATTTTATTTTTTTTGTTTTACATGAYACCTATCTCTGGGCTTCTTAGCACAATTGGAGTGCTAAAATGCAAGTCCTGGCTTTGGTGTTTCACTTGCCCTGAGGAGCCTCCTTTATAGGAGAAGGCTACACACAGGGCTCAGCAGAGTGACCACAATTTCATGCCCACATTTACTTGGGTGCTGAGGAAAAGTAAATGTGAAGGTAGGGGAAGGGTGGCAGTCTGTTGGAAGTGATGCAGGACTGATACTGAGCCTAAAATCCTTATCCTTGCTTCCTGTGCTCTTGTTTGATGTCACTCCAATGGGAAGCCCCTGAATTACCTCTGGGCTATTAATTRATCACTGTCTTGCTGCCATAAACTGATACAAGAAGGATAGCCAGTGAATGAAAGCGCTGAATTCAAATCAAACAAGACTTGTATAAAACTCCAGTGGTGGAAAGGGCTGCGTAAGGAGTYACCATTTCTTTCAGCAAGTGCGAGGCTCTTTGCATTGCGCTGTGGATGCACTGCTGTGTGTCTGTGCATCACAACAGATGCATCTGCCTGCACCRTGCTGCTTGGGAGCTTCCAACATTCAGACAGTGGTAATATAGCTATTTCTGATTAATCGCTGCTAAATACAAACTTGCTTGGCTTGACAGGCTTGTCTGATGCATCCTGTAAATCACAATTTGTTTGACTGCAGGAATGGGAAATATTTATTTGAACGATTATTTTCAGAGAAGTCTTCCCTGTACATGACCCTCAGGATTGTCTTCAGGATTTAGAGTTTTCATCAGCTGCCCGGCTCACTTTTATTTTATTTTGAGGCCTAAAGACATATGACAAGCAGCATATTTCAGTACTTARGATATTTTAAGTGTGGCGAAACAGATTTTCATACGATGAGAAGAAATGTCCTCCAGCCTAGAAAAGTGATTCTCATACTTCTTGACTAGTGACATGTCTGCTGTGTGGCAGCAATAAGTTTTGCATAACTTTTAAGAGCCCACGCTGACCTACTTAACGGGCATCCCCTGCTACATAATGTATTTAGGTCAAGTATTGTGTTTGAGCTTATCATCAATCTTGTAATAGTCCGTCTCGCTGTGAAAACCACAGGTATGTGGTTGATGCAAACTTTCTGTAGGGTAGAGAGGATTCTTGTCATTTCCTTAAAGAGAATCTGTCATCGTGGTGTTATTTGTTACTTGTTTGGGAGAAGCAGTGAGGATTGCTGGGGGTGGCC